TTGAGGAAATTAACTCTAAGCCAAAGCATCTGAAGCAGGGGTGTACAGGCCTGTCCCTGGAGGGCCACCTTCCTGCAGAGTTTAGATCTAGCTCCAGTTGGAGCTAAACTCTGTAGGAAAGTGTCTCTCCTGGACCAGAATTGGACATCCCTGATCTAAAGACAGCTCCAGCAGATCTAGTCCTCGTAACAGTACCCGTAACATTAACCCTAAATGGTTTAAGCAGCACTTGGTTATGTGAACTAGAGACATGTCAACATTTACACATGGTTTGACTCCAAGTAGGAAGATCCGAGACTGGCATAACCCAGTCACTGAAAACTACTAAATCTAGTCAGTACAACCAATGCGGTCAAGTTTAACTCAAACGCCCAATACAATCGACCTCAGTCAGGTTAGACACCATATTGAATTTAACACAGCTGTGATGGATAGACTCAAAGGTATAGTTCACCCAAAAATGAAAATTTCAAAGGACGCATCTGTTTAGCAGATCAAATTGTACCTATGCTAATATGATGCTTCAAACACACTTAGCTCAGAAGTTTACGATATATAAATCCATCACGCGCTGGTGGTCTGGTTTCATCTGTAGACGGAAACTGCCTGAATTTGACCATGAAAACTCTTTGTTTAATATTTTTTAAAACTACATATTTACAGTTATAGTGAAATAAGACGTTTGTTATTATTATTGTTTAATAAATTACATCCATTTGGAAAATTACCAACTTCTCATTGGGTGGGCTACAGTTGAAAGTGTGTGGGCCCATGCCCACCTGTAGCCTCACCACTGGTTGAACCACTGATGCCACATGGACTATTTTAACGATGTCCTTACTACCTTTCTGGGCCTTGAATGTGTCAGTTGCGTTGCTGTCTATGCAGGGTCAGCAAGCTCTCAGATTTCATCAAAAATATTTCCGAAGACTCGTTCAATATCAAAAATAGTTCCGTAGATGAACGAAAGTCTCACGGGTCTGTGTGCTTCGGGTCATTGTCCTGTTGGAAGGTAAACCTTCTGCCCAGTCTGAGGTTCTGAATGCTCTGGACTGGGTTTTCATTAAGGTTATCTCTATATTTTGCTGCATTGAGCTTTCCTTCTACTCTGACGAGTCCCTCAGTCCCTGCCACTGAAAAACAGCCCCACAGCATGAGGCTGCTACCAGCACACTTTACTGTTGGGATGCTACTCTGCAGGTGATGAGCAGTGCCTGGTTTCCTTCAAACATGATGCTTGGAATTGAGGTTCATCAGACCAGAGACTCTTGTTTCTCACAATCTGAGGGTTCTTTAGCTGCTTTTTTGCAAATTCCAAGTGTGTTTTCTTATTTCTTCACTAAGGAGAGGATTGAGTTTGGCCACACCGCCATAAAGACCAGATCGGTGGAGTGTTGCAGTGATGTTTGTCCTTCTGTAGGTTTCTCCTATCTCCACATATGATCATGGAGCTCAACTAGAGTGGCCATCAGGTTATTGGTCACCAGTCTAACCAAAGCCCTTCTCCATCGATTGCTCCGTTTGGCCAGGAGGCTGTCAGCTCTAGGAAGAGTCCTGGTTGTTTCAAATTTCGTCCACTAAGAGTAATGGAGACTACATGCTTCTGCGAACCTTCAATGCAGCAGAATTTTTTCTGAACTCTTCCCCAGATGTGTGACTTGAGGCAATCCTGTTTTTGAGCTCTTCAGGCAGTTCTTTTGACCTCAGGGCTTGGTTTTTACTCTATGCATTTTCAGCTGTTTGACCTTTTATTGAGAGGTGTGTGCCTTTTCAAATCATATCCATTCATTTGAATTTGCCACAGGTTAACTCCACTTTAAGTGTAGTAACATCTACAAGCGAGATCTTTACAATCTTTCAACTGTCCCAGATAAGGGTATGAATACTTATGCAATCATTTAAGTTGAATCATTTTGAATCATTTAAGTTTTTTTTTTATTTTTAACAAATTTGCAAAGATGTTAAAAACCTGTTTTGGTGTGGTGTGGAGTGTAGATTGATGTGGGAAAAAAAGTAATTTAAAGCATTTTAACATAAGGCAGCAACATAAAATGTAAAAAAAAAAAATGAAGGGGTATGAATACTTTCACAAGGCACTGTA